GCAGTGATGCATTTTAAAGACCTAATTCTGAAGATAGGATATGAAGATTCTCACAAAACAGGTGATGAGGCAGGATAAACCTATAACTGGACGGCACTTGTTCATTTATTCCCTTTTTTATATACTACCCTTGAACAAAGCTTCAAAGGTGGTTTACAAAAGCAAGATAAATAGGAATAAAAACACATGAATATCCCTTCAGACAGAGAACCACACGCTGAAGACTAGACTAGCCTTCTCCTCCCTAACATGGTAGTTTTCTATGTGCAAATAAGGGAACTTCCAGCCTGCCACTGTCTGGGGGCGAGATTCAATCACATGCTGCAATAGTCAGACTAGGCAATTAGAGTGCTTTGCAGGATCCTAAACAACAAACCCAATTTCTCCCGAAGGCTAGACTTCTTGCAATGAGGAAGGTGAGGGTCAGGTAAGGTGAGATAAGACTTGCTTTGATGCAACATCTCAGGCATAGGCAAACTCCGGCCCTCCAGATGTTTGGGACTACAATTCCCATCACCCCTAGCTAGCAGGACCAGTGGTCAGGGATGATGGGAATTGTAGTGGGATGCTAAGAGGCAATTGGGTTTCAGAGGAACACTGGAGGTCTAAACGACTACCATGCTTTGAAAATCTGGTACCAAGTCCATCAATTTTGTTTAATTCGTTAAACTAAATAGTTTTAATTGGATTTGGGATAAATGTGCAGTTGATCGTTACTGTTTTGAATTTTATGGTGCTATTATCTTCCTTAGTGGGTCATGAAAGCGCTATTCTGAACGATGTTTTTTATAGGAGGCGCTGGGAATGAACTTACGGAACCAAGGGGGCGGCAGTGCCCCAAACAAGTTTGGCAACCACCGATCTAACCTCCCCGCAAACAGATTCATGAAAATAGTGCAGTCTAATTTCCCTGCAAACCGACCAGGGAAAATGCTACATAACCTGGTCGTCCGGAAACACCTGATTCAGGGGAAACATTCTGCTTTACTAACCCCTCCTTCTTCCCAGTCTGAAATGGTACTACTCTGACGCAGGTCCACCAGGTCACTCATGCTAACCTGCTCTGCACCTCAGAGAAGGCGCCGTCCCAAATCAACAGCATGAAATGATGGGAAGCGACTTGCTTTTCGCACAGACATGGTTTTAAACCCAGGCAAGCCTTCTATTGATTGCATTTATATCTCACCTTTTCCTCCAAGGAGCTCAAAGTGGTGTAAATGGTTGCTTGGGAGAAAGGCAAGAGATAAACACACTAAAGAAATAAATGCTTCCTCCCCCCTCCTCAGTTATTCTTCACAACAACCTTGCAAGGTAGGCTAAGGGGCAGCAGCTGGCCCAAGGCCACGCAGTGAGCTTCATGGGCCAAATAGGAAACTGAACCCTCATTTATCTCAGTTCCTAGTCCTAACCAATTCGTCACTCTGGGAAGGGTCCAAAATGAAGCACCACTGGGAGGGTGTTGGCACTATTTACGGCTAGAAGGGAAAGGGTGCTTAACCCTTTCTCTGCTTGGTGCTTTCAGGGCCAGCTCAGAATCCTTCAGCCGCTGCCGCTGCTGTGGGTTTAGCCACCTTTTTAGTTCCATGCAATGAGTTTTGGGGGGAAATCTGAAGGGTGGCTAGGCCTCACCTCCTAGAGCTGCAAGGGGTGCGGCTTCTAGAGCAGGCTTCCTCAACCTCGCCCCTCCAGATGTTTTGAGACTACAATCCCCATCATCCCTGACCACTGGTCCTGCTAGCTAGGGATCATGGGAGTTGTAGGCCCCAAAACATCTGGAGAGCCGAGGTTAAGGATGCCTGTTCTACAGCCTGATAAACCTGTTGGCATCCATCTGTCTTGACAGACAATGGAGTGCTCCTCCAAGGGTGAAGTCAAACCCCTGGGTAAGCAACACCAAGTCACCTCCCCAGGGAGCAAGCCTGGGCGGTGTGTCTAGAGGTCCTGGGCTGCCCAGGTGACAACCTGCCCACCTTCTCAGCCTGGCTAATGTGGTCCAAAGGCAAGCAGAGCAATCAGTTTGGCACCAGCTTGGCTGCAGCAGTTGCCATAATGGTAGTAGTAGTAGTAGTAGTAGTAGTAGTAGTAGTAGTAATAATAATAATAATATTTTTTATTATTTATACCCTGCCTATCTGGCTGAGTCTCCCAGCCACTCTGGGCGGCTCCCAATCAAGTGTTAAAAACAATACAGCATTAAATATTAAAAACTTCCTTAAACAGGGCTGCCTTCAGATGTCTTTTAAAGAGAAGATAGCTGCTTATTTCCTTCACATCTGAAGGGAGGGCGTTCCACAGGGCGGGCGCCACTACTGAGAAGGCCCTCTGCCTGGTTCCCTGTATCTTGGCTTCTCGCAATGAGGGAACTGCCAGAAGGCCCTCAGAGCTGGACCTCAGTGTCCGGGCTGAACGATGGGGTGGAGATGCTCCTTCAGGTATACAGGACCGAGGCCGTTTAGGGATTTAAAGGTCAGCACCAACACTTTGAATTGTGCTCGGAAACATGCTGGGAGCCAATGCAGATCTCTCAGGACCAGTCTATGTGGTCCCAGCGGCCACTCCCAGTCACCAGTCTACCTGCCACATTCTGGATTAATTGCAGTTTCCGGGTCACTTTCAAAGGTAGGCCCACGTAGAGCGCATTGCAGTAGTCCAAGTGGGAGATAACCAGAGCATGCACCACTCTGGCGAGACAGTCTGCGGGCAGGTAGGGTCTCAGCCTGCGTACCAGATGGAGCTGGTAGACAGCTGCCCTGGACACAGAATTGACCTGCACCTCCATGGACAACTGTGAGTCCAAAATGACTCTCAGGCTGCGCACCTGGTCCTTCAGGGGCACAGTTACCCTATTCAGGACCAGGGAGTCCTCCACACCCGCCCGCCCCCTGCCCCCAGAAGGAGGCATACAAGGCTCCATCCAACTGCCTTAGGGACTCTGCTCTGGGTTTGTGTAGAATTTACTTCTTAGCTCTGTAATTAGGGTCATCATTATACTTATTTGTACCCTGACTGTTCCCCAGGCTGCCCAGAACCTCCATACACACTGCCCAGGCTTGTGGCCCAGAGAGGTCACTTTTGTGCTGTCAACGCAGGGGGTTGACTTCACCCCTGGAGGCCCACGAAACAGACGGTTGCCAGCAATGACAAGAATTGCGGAGTGAGGGGGAAATGAACCACAAGCTGATTCCACATGCTCATCCTTTGCCACAGCATCAGTTGGCGACTGGATGCCTGGCAAAGGTTGAAGGGGGGGGGGTGAGATTCAGCCTTGCCCCACCCATAGAGCTTCCCTTTACAACCGAGATCGCACACTGGGCTGGGAGTCGCTTACACGCGCGTGTGAGTGAATCAGAGGGGATGATGGAGCAAATCATACGAGGAACGCCTGTGGATGCGCTTAGCCGACGGAGAGACTAGATTAAAGAAATTATGTTGACAGTTTGTGGCGACGTGGAAGGGATGGGGAGGGGCGGCTGTCACGGAGGAGGCGGAAGGAAAGAGAGAAAAGCAAGAGCGACTCTCTGCAGGCTCCGCGCAGGCCGGAGAGCAGATCAGCCCTTCATCAACTGAGTACCAGGCAGATGCTTTGAGCTGCAACACCTTTGAGTCCCAGGTTGTGGGCACAAAAGATCTGCAGGGCATTTAGGCTGGCAAAGGCTGGCACAGGGTGATGGATGGAGCTGTTGCACTTGGGTCCAGCTTATGGCCTTGCCACAGGCATCTGCTCAGCCGCTGGCCATAAGAACATAGCAAGAGCCCGCTGAGTCAGGCCAATGACCCATCGGGTCCAGGGGCATATGATGAAACTTTTGAAAGGAGAAACCATTAGGGTCAGAGGCACCCGCTTGGAAGAGCGATGGGGGGGGGGTTGACGTCACGGTGTCCTCACATCATGTCTGTGAGCATCTTGTCTTCCTCCGTAAGCCAGGCCGAAGCTTCCCAGGCTTTGGGAAGGTGGCAGGAGGGCTCCTGGACCCATCAGAGCATCACACTTCCCTCCCTAAGCCAGACAGGAGCTTCCTGGGGTTTGGAGACACCAAGGGAACATTTAGGGGACTTGCCTAGTCCCCCTAGTCCAGGGGTCAGCAACCTTTTCTCAGCCGTGGGCTGGTCCACTGTCCCTCAGACCATGTGGTGGGCCGGACTATAGTTTGGGAAAAAATAATAATGAATGAATTCCTATGCCCCACAAATAACCCAGAGATGCATTTTAAATAAAAGGACACATTCCACTCATGTAAAAACATGCTGATTCCCGGACCATCCAGGGGCCGGATTGAGAAGGCGATTGGGCTGCATCCGGCCCTCAGGCCTTAGGTTGCCTACCCCTGCCTAATCCAATGATTCTGGTCCCACAGTGGCCAAACAGATGCCCATTATGGGAAACCCGCAGGCAGGATCCGGGCACCAGAGCGACTCTCCCCTCCTGTCGTTTCCAGCAAATGGTATTCAGAAGCATCGCTGCTACAGCTGTGGAGGCAGAGCAGAGCGTCTCCTCCATGAATTGGCTCAGTCCTCTTTAAAAGCCACCTAGGTTGGTGGCCAGCATTGCCTCCTGTGGCAGGGAGTTCCAGAGATTAACCACACACTGCCTGAAGAAGGACTTCCTTTGATCCACCAACACTCAGCTTCATGGGATGTCCACATTGCACCAGATGGCCTTTGGCCTGATCCTGCAGCCAAGCACTTCTTATGAATCACCTCAGCTATGAATTCGCCAAGGGGAGTGGGGAGGGTTAAGCAAGCCCCTCTTTCATGGCCTCCTCCCCACATTATGCTGCCCTTGTCAGGTTGCTGCTGACAATGAGAAGGTGTAGGAAAAAGGTGTAAAACAGCAGCTTTGCTGGATGATATGAAAAGTCCAAAATATTTATTAGCCCACTGCTTTCCATCAGGACAACCAAAAACATCCACAGCATGGTTGGTCTAATACAGGCACCCCCAAACTCGGCCCTCCAGATGTTTTGGGACTACAACTCCCATCATCCCTAGCTAACAGGACCAGTGGTCAGGGATGATGGGAATTGTAGTCCCAAAACATCTGGAGCAGTAATAGGCAAACTCAGGCCTCCAGATGTTTGGGGACTACAGTTCACATCATCCCTGACCACTGGTCCTGTTAGCTAGGGATCATGGGAGTTGTAGTCCAAAAACATCTGGAGGGTCGAGTTTGCCTGTGCCTGATCTGGAGGCCCGAGTTTGGGGATGCCTGGTCTAATAAAAGGCATAAGGATTTTGGAACAACAAGCAGTTTGGGGAGTTGGAAGTGCGAATAAATGCACAGCATTGTTCTCACACATTACAATGCAGGATACTTGTGAAGTGTGGACATCATTTATGACACACACTCACATGTTTAAGCGGCTGGGCAGATTAGTGCAGCTGGGAACCCCCACCTCTGTCTGAATTCTCACGTACATGGGTGTGCAAAGGCTGTGTGCATTCACCGTACATGCCAACTCTTTTCTGCTTTACAGGTTACCATTGTTTCCTCGGCTGTGCCGTGGAAGTCACAAAAGAGAGCCTAGCACTTAGCACCCATTTGGGAACGCTGCCTCAATAAGCTTCCCAGAAAACATGCACAGTCGGGCTACAGTCATACGCTGCTTGCGAGGGTCCTGTGGAAAACACTGGCTGAAGCACACACATTTCCTGCAGGAACACTCATTCGCAGCGCTGTCTTTGCACTTGAACATCCGCAAGCAGACGGTCTCATATTTGGTTTCTGGCATCTCCAGGTAGGGCCGGGAATGGCTTCTGCCTGAAACCCTGGAGAGTGTAGATCGTACTGAGTGAGCTACGCGAAGCAGCGTTCTGCATAAGCTGCTTTCTCTGTTTGCATAGGGCCTTGGTTCGGCAATATAGCATCTGCTTTGCATGCAAAGGACAACAGTTTTGATCCTTGGCATCTGCAGTTAGGGCTGGGAATGTCTCTTGTCTGAAACCCTGGAAAGAGGCTGCTAGTTAGTCCAGAGGCCACTGAGCTTCATAGAATCACAGAACTGTCGAGTTGGAAGGGGTTCCAAGGGTCATCTAGTCCAACCCCCTACAATGCAGGAATCCTTTTGTGCCAGGGCTTAAACCCACAACCCTGGCATTAAGAGTCTTCTGCTCTACCAGCCTTGCCATACTGCAGGCTATGGACCTATGATCTTCATATAAGGCAAGTCTCTATATATTCTCTCCCTCCCTACGGTTTAACCAAAAACATAACTTTTAAGCAGCATCTAAGCCACAGAATGAAGCTGCCTACGATGGCAATTAGCGAAGGATGGATGGGCACCTATCAGGAAGCCAGGGAGGCAGCAGAACCTCCTTTTTGAAAACTTTCCAAGAAAAAGGTTGGGCAAGGACATGCTGGGGATGTATAGGATATCCTCTTGCCTTCGGGCAATTGTTGCAGTACACAGCCAGCTGGATCCTAGCCAGCTCTCCAATTAACCTGCCATTACAAGTGCCACATCAAAGCCAGGCCAGTATTCTCATTGTAAGGATGAGAGGCTGAGACTTGGAGAGAGGTTTTGATAGCAGGCACAAATGCATTTAGATTCTCCTAGAAGAGCTGGAGGTCATCTTCAAGGTGCAGGGCTGTGTTTTGTAACTATCTCTTTCTAAGAATCAAAACCTAAAAGGGGGTGTGCTATTGGCATTATACAGGGTTGCCCCCAAAATACTGTCAGGATAGGATCTAAGGCAGCTCGGCTGAGACATAATTCCAGGGTGGTGGTGACAGTGGGGCGTTCACGACACACCCTTCTCAACCTAGCAGCGTCCATCTGTAAAATGGGAAGAGCAACGGACTTCAAGGAACAGTTCCTAGAGCAAAAGAGAGCAGTTCAAGCCAAGAAGCGGTGCCTTGCAACGTACAGTTTCCATCCCTTCAGGTAAAACAGCCAGCAAGTCAATAATATAAATGGGATAAAGATACACGAACACGCAGAGCTCCTGCTGTCTCCATCACTCAACGCCTGCTGGAGCAGACAAGTTGCCCACAGCCTCCAGAAAGATGCCCCCGAGCCCAGACTTTGGTGACCCTCTGGTGAAAAAGAGGTTTAGCGGAGGCAAAACCACTGGAACATCTTCTGCCTTTGCCAATGGGTCAAGCCACTTTCCAGAGGGCATTGCCAGCGAACCCAAGTTTGCAGCAAACATAAGAGGTGATTTCTCGAAGTATGAAAGACCTGAGCAGTTCAGGGATTTATGAAGGTAGAACTGTTTGCGCGCGCGCGCGCGCGCACACACACACTTGTTGCTAAACACAGTCCATATAAACCACACTGGGACAATGCTGCCCCGCCTTATAGGACTGTTGTAAGGAGACGGCAGGTGCTTTCGAGTCTTTAAAAAGCGACACAAGTGCTAAATCACATCACCAGCAGCACAACCTCCTCACTCCGCAAGCAGACAGGCAGTGAAGTCACAAGATGCCCATCTAATCTCCAAAGCTCTCCTCTCCTCTCCTCAGGCGCCTCATTGTGCATGCCAGCCAAATGCCAGGCGGACTCAGCGCCTTCTGCAACAGTACCACCACCTTCACGAACAGAGCACAACATTATATCATTCGGAAGCCTTTGCATAGCTCCGGCTTTTTAGGGAACATTTCCTGAGCGTGCCCTGGCACAACCGTAGATAGAAACCATACGTAGGTGGTGTTTGGGGGGGGAGGGGGATCTTGCAAGGAAGGAGAGGGATCAAGGTCTTTTTCCTAACCAACTCATCAGCCCTGCAAATGCTCCCTTAAACCAAGTAATAAGAAAAACACAAATCCGTCCTTCTGCTCTGTTAAGGAGCTGCGACAACCAAAGACCATGCCAAGACCAGACAACTGGTTTTTGCAAGGAGAAGGAGGGAGGGGGGGCGAACAGATCAAAGTCAAAACCCAGACATGTCCTTTAGCAGAAGATGCTCTGGATGGAAAAGGAAACAAGCTCTTCTTACCTGACCAGCTACAGAACAGCAGCAGGGGAGGCAGGAGACAGGTCAGCAAACCTCTGGAAGAAAGCCCGGGAGCGTCCATGGTCATTTGCTACTGGAGGGAAGAAGGAAAAAAAAGAAAAAGAGTTTCATGAAGAGGAAATCAGAGGGTGCTTCTAGCGGCTTTCTCTCTGTGTCGCTCTCTCTCTTTGAGAGAAGGGCAGACGAAGCCAAGGAAGATGAAGAAAACAAACCCCCGCATCACTCCATCCCCAAAATGAGGAAACCAACCTTACTTCCTCGTCTACAGACATCGGCAGGGTGGGGGTGGGGGAGAGCCCAAACCCAACCTATTTTCCAGAGCCGATGAAATCAGGAGTTCTATGCCCCCCTCCCTCCATCTCCTTCCTCCTGAAACATCTCCAGCTAAAAACGGTTAAAGGGAGATTAATATTTTACGGAGAGGACATCAGGGCAGCGGCGGGGAAAGCGGCAGGGAGACGGGAGGAAGGCGCATCAGGGGGGAAAAAACTGTGCAACAACATCCTTTCCCGGGTGCCTGGCAAAGCACGTACGCAAACACAGCCACGCAGCCGGGCACAGACTCACCTGGCCAGCATCCGCTGCAGCGCGCAGCGCCCCAGACACGCAGACACACGCGCGCACCTCGAGAATTCGCTCCTCGCTCGCCCGGGACCGGCGGAAAAAAAAAATCGCCACTTTTTGCAGGCAGGCAGTCACATGCCAAGGCTGCTGGGGTGCCCCCCTCCCTTCCCTGTTCCTCCTCCTCCTCTTCCAGGCCTTTCCACCAGTCGCACTAGGAAACCTTAAGAGTCACAAGAAACCAGAAGAAGGGGAGATGTTTTTTTCCCTTTTTTGCAGAGGAAAAACACTTCCTCGGAACGGGGCTGGGGTTTGCACGCCTCCCCAAGCAGCAATGCCAGGAGGAGACGGGGCGGCAGAATCTGCAGGAAAAGGGGAAAAGAGAGAGGCCCCCCCTGCGGACACAAGGGAGGTGGGCTCTTCTGTGTCACCTTTGCAGCCCTTGGACCCTGCCTTGCTGCGCTTGTCAGTCTGCTTGTGTCTCTCTGCAGCGCCTTCTTGCTCTCTGCTGCTGGTGGATCAGAGACATCCCACCCTCCTCCCGTTGCCTAGCATTGATGGGGCTCTGTTTTTTTCAACAATGTACCAGTTCAGGAGAAAAGAAAGAGTCGTCTCCCCCCTTCTCTCTCTCTCTCTCTCTAGCAGGCAAGCCAGCTTTTTGGGAACGGCTCCACGCAGTCCTAGTTCTCTTTCCCCCCCAGCTAGCTTTTCACAAAGCAAGCTGGACAGAGGCGATCGGAAGAAAAGGCTGGAGGGGGGGGTGTAGAAGGAGCACAAGGGAGGCTGTACCACTACGACTGCCTGCCTGCCTCGCTCCAAGCCAACTTGCTTTTTTTGTGTTTTGTAAGGTCACCCCTGCCTGCCTGGAATCAGCCACACATTGTTTTTCTTAAGGTGGGCTGGGAGAATTCAGAGGCTTCCTCCCCTGCCTCCCTTTTGCTTGCCCTTCCCTTTGCAAAGGGAGGCAGCTTTGTCTCCTGAAAAACACTCCTGGGTTCTTCTCCCCAGGCTTTCAAAAGAAGGCTGAGAATGAGACCGGGAGGGAGGGGTCAGTGGGAGAATTGGAGACTCCCTGTTGCACAAAGTCTGGCTTCTGCAAAGTGCTTCCGTCTGCGAACTCTCTCTCCTCTCCCCCACCAACCTAGCCCCCCCCCCGCCCTGCTCCTCTTGCATTCCCAGCTACCACTCCAACTCTTCCCCAAGGAAAATACAAGAGAGAGAGAGAAAGCTGATAAAAGCTTCGGTGAAATGAATGGAAAGCCTGCCCGGGGAATTAGGATGGGACTGTCAGACAAGGGATGCAGGAAGGAGGTGAGCTGATGGTGGTGGCAGGAAATAAACAGGAAACACAGAAATCAGGAAGGATTTCATTCCAGGGAGGAGGAGGAGGAGAGAGGGGCTAATATATATTTATTCCTGAACAAGACGAGAGGGAGCTACCGTTGAAGACAGAGTCCTGAACCAAACCTCTCTAGCTTAGTAGGGTCTACTACTGTGCTGAGGGAGGGGCCTCCCAAGGATTTAGACAGGGAAAACTCTCCACCAGCCCTCCTGTCTGGTCTCCTTTCTGCTGGAAAGTGCTGGGGAATGGATCC